ATGATCATTTTGCAGGGGGGCACATGCTGGGGGGGAGGGTTAGGAGAGGGGCTTGGGAGGGGGCGGCGAGGGGTAGAGGAAGGTTCTGGTGAATCGAGAAACCCCCTTGGAACAATTGTACACTGTCTTTTGAGCATTGAGAGCAAAGAGGCGGAATAGTAGAAAAAGCTAGAGACAAGGTAGGGAACAGGGATTCCCCCAAACAGAAGGGTTAGACGGATCTAAAGTGGGGGTGAGGGGCGGCCGTAGCCACTAAGCCCAAAAGCATCCGGGACCGGCATGGTTTCTCTGAAATCCATAGGATCTGGTTCATCTCATCGTGAGTTCACGAGTGTGTTCTGTACCTGTGGATTTGCACCTCGTGAGCACTTGTGTACCCTGGGGGGGGGGGTTCTCCTGTTTGCTTATTTGTATTTCACCCATTGCTTCTGCACTTTGTCCTGGCTCCACATTGTTCTAGTACTTTCTGAGGATTACCTCCACTAAGCTTCTCAACAACTCTGTGAGAAAGGTATTGTCCTCATTTTGTGCTGGTCACATGGCTTATCTCACGCTAAGCAAATGCTACCTTGGGGCCTCTTTCAGGTGTGTAGGGGTACGGGGTGCCCAGAACCTCATAATTGCTTTGTTGGGAAACTGAGATATAAGCAGAGAAATTACTTGATGTAGCCCTCTATCGAGACTGAAGGATACCAGCCTGAGTATTGCCCTGAATTTATTTATTTATTTTTGGTCAGTCATGGGGCTTGAACTCAAGGGCCTCGATGCTGTCCCTGAACTCTTTCGCTCAAGGCTAGTGCTCTAGCACATTGGAGATAAGAGTCTCATAGACTTTCCTGTCTGGGCTGGCTTTGAACAGTGATCCTCAGATCTCAGCCTCCTGAGTAGCTAGGATGACAGGCGTGAGCCACCAGCGCTCTGCTGTTTATTGTTTATTACTCGTTTGTATTTATTTATTTTTGTTCCCGTCCTGGGGTTTGGAACTCAGGCCTCAGGTACTGTCCCTGAACTGTTTCACTCAAAGTTGGCACTCATCACTTGAGACACAATTCCACTTCCACGTTTTTGATGGTTCATTGGAGTCAGAGTCACATAGACTTTTGCTGACCAGACTGGCTTCGAACTGGGATCCTCAGATCTCAGCCTCTTGAGTAGCTAGGATTATGGGCCAAGGGTGCTTTTAGGGACACCCGACTTGTTCGATCTTATGACAAAGTCAATTTAGATGAAATGTGAGTCCTCCTCGGTAAGTTTGAAGCCCTATTCCCCCTTCTAAAATAGTCCAGGAAGGTCCCCCCAAAATCTCCTTTGGATTTTCCAACTGCTTTCTCTTTGTACGCCATTGTCGTTTGTTGTGTTCGTTTGGGTTGTTTTCTTTAAAAAAAATAAATAAATAGTATCCATTTTTAGATAGGATTCTGCCATGTCCAGCTTCTCTACTTAAAACTATATATATCTTGGACGGCTTCCTGTTAGTAGTATAAATCCTTTTTTCTTTCTTTTTTTTTTTTTTTTTAAATTTGCTACTCCTAAGGTTTGAACTCTGGGCCAAGGAGCTGTCCCTAAGCCTGTGTGCTCAAGGCGAACGCTCTACCACTTTTAAGACCCAGCCCCACTGCTAGTTTTTTTTGGTAGTCAAGTGGAGATCAGAGTCTCACAGACTTTCCTGCCCAGGCTGGCTTCGAACCGTGATCCTCCGATCTCAGCCTCCTGAGTAGCTAGGGTGACAGGCGTGAGCCACCGGCACCCGGCATAAATAGTTTTTTTTTTTAATACAGCATTATATCCCAAGACACAAGACTTATAAAGCAGTTTCTAGGAATGGATGGAATGATTTCTGGGTCATTTTCGTGTGTCTGTGTGTGTGTGGGGGGGGTTCCAAATGGTAGCAATGAAGCCCCTTGGAATGCCCTAGGTGACTATTTTGGTTGGATCTCACAAACACTCACTTTTGTTTTTTGGGTTTTTTTAGTTTTTTAAAAAAAACATGGCCAAATTGCTCTTTACATAAGCAGGGCCTGCTTAATACCAAGACTAACCACAAAGACACCCCCACACACACAAAAGGGCATTCTCTATCTCTTGGGATTTTAGAAGGGGGTTCTCCCGATTTTCCCCCCTCTCCCCTCTGTCTTCTAGGTCCAAACAAACAAACAAAAAACATCCCCAAAGCCGGGCACCGGTGGCTCACGCCTGTAATTCTAGCTACTCAGGAGGAGGCTGAGATCTGAGGATCGCGGTTCAAAGCCAGCCTGGGCAGGAAAGTGCGTGAGACTCTGATCTCCAATAAACCACTAGAAAACGGGAAGTGGTGCTATGTATGGCTCAAGTGGTAGAGCGCTAGCCTTGAGCTGAAGAGCTGAGGGACAGCGCCCAGGCCCAGAGTTCAGGCCCCACAACCGGACCCAAAAAAAAACAAAAAAACACCCCAAACAAACAAACAAAAACCCAGTGTCTTTTGTGTCATTGACTGTGATGTTTGGACTTTACAGTTGTTTATTGTCTTCTAAGAGCAGCTTCCTCCAAGCCATTACCCGACTCTCTATGGGTTATTTATCTTGTGTGTATTGATTGCTTGAAGCTTTTTATATCACCTGTGCTTAAACACATCCTCCACTATCCATCCCTCCTGAGCTTCTAGAACTGTCTGTGGACCCAGTAAAGGGGGGGGGGGTGGCACGCCACGGCCAGGAGAATCCAGCTTCTGGGATCTTTGGAATGTTTTAATAAGGTATCCAGCAAACTCCCCCACATTCCTCTTGTGGGCTTTTGGGGGGGAAGTGACGCTCCCTGGTCCAGCTACCACATCAGGAGGACAGAAAGACGGGGCGGGGGAGGGGGAAGAGTCCCAAGAAAAAGAAAAGGTAGGGGCTGGGAAGGTGGCTTGGTGGTAGAGCGCTCGCCTAGCATGCATGAAGCCCTGGGTTCGATTCCTCAGCAACACGTACACAGTAAAAGCCAGAAGTGGCGCTGTGGCTCAAGTGGTAGAGTGCTAACCTTGAGCAAAAGAAGCTCAGGGACAGCGCCCAGGCCCTGAGTTCAAGCCCCAGGACTGGCAAAAAAGAAGAGGAGGAGGAGGAGATAGGACAGGATTTTTTTTTGTTTTCAGAACTTTGCGATCGTCTATGGGATGTAATGCTTTTGTTTATGTATTGTGCCAGTCCTGGGCCTTGAACTCAGAGCCCGGGCTGTGTCCCTGTGCTATTACGCTCAAAGCTAGTGCTCTCATGCTTGAGCCGCAGCTGCACTTCCAGCTTTTTTGGTCACTAATTAGACCTCAGAGTCTCTCACACTTTCCTGCCCAGGTTGGCTTTGAACCGCGATCCTCAGATCTCAGCCTCCTGAGTAGCTAGGATGACAGGCGTGAGCCACCAACACTTGCCAATCCTGGGGCTTGAACTCAGGGCCTGGGCACTGTCCCTGAGCTTCCCCGAGCTCAAGGCTAGTGCTCTACCCCCTTGAGCCACAGCGCCACTTCTGGCTTTTTCTGTGTATGTGGCCCTGAGGAACGGAACCCAGGGCTTCATGCATGCTAGGCAAGCACTCTACCACTGAGCCACCTTCCCAGCCCTGGAGCCATTCTTCAATGAGACCTGCTGGGATCTATCATCCTCTTCCATCTACACCACGATTAGATTCAGTCAGCCCATTCTTTTTAGTCTTGATCCTCTGGTCCGGGTACAGCCAATGAAACCGCAACTGGCTCCTAACATCATCATCCATTGCAGGCTGTCCCCAAGATAGCCAGGCTGGCTGGCCTGAGAGACAAGCATTACATTGCCCTCTCCCCCTCTCACCCCTTCCCCGCTAGTCCCCAACACTGGCAGTTGGCTCAGGGAAAGCGTCAGGAGGGAGAACAAAAGTTAGCACTTGTTGCCGGCCACTGGTGCGCACACCTGTCATCCCAGCTACTCAGGAGGCTGAGATCTGAGGATCACAGTTTAAAAGCCAGCCTTGGGCAGCAAAATCCACGAGACTCTTTATCTCCAGTGGGCCACCCAAAAAGCCAGAGGTGGTGTTTTCTCAAGTGGTAGAGGGCCAGCCTTCAGCAATCTTGATTTCCTCCTCTTTGTGTGTGTGTGTGTGTGTGTGGAGGAGGAGGAGAATTTCAGCCCATTGTAGGAATACAGTCAGCTATAGGGTAGAATGTGGTAGGGAGGAGAGGGAAAGAGAGGCGTGGCTCTTCTTGGACAGTGGGAGGGGCCTGACTCAGCCATCATAGTGATTAGCCTATATAGGACACCTCTCCATCTTCACCTCCACCCCTTCAGCCGCCATCTCCAACCTCCACAACGTCCTCAGAGTGTCTCCCTGGGAGCTGAGTTAGGAGGAGATTAGCCAGGTAGGGTGGTACTCACCTGTAAGCCCAGCCCTCAGTGGCTCATGCCTGTCACCCTAGCTACCCAGGAGGCTGAGGTCTGAGGATCGAGGATCAAAGCCAGCCCAGGCAGGAAAGGCTGTGAGACTCTGATCTCCAGTGAATCACCTAAAAACCGGAAGTGGCGCTGTGGCTCAAGTGGTAGAGTGCTTACCTTGAGCTGAAGAGCTGAGGGACAGCGCCCAGGCCCAGAGTTCACACCTGTAATCCCAGCTAATCGAGAGCCAGAGATCTGAGGAGCGTGGTACCAAACCACAACCTGCACACTCTGCCTTAGCTTTTTTACTCCAGGCTGGTACCCTACCAACTTGAACCACACTTTCTAGTTCTGTTTTGTTAATTGTTGTTTGCTTGTTTGTTTTCCTGGATCCTTGGAGATCAGAGTCTCTCAGCGTTCCCTGCCCGGGCTGGCTTTGAACTGTGATCCTCAGATCTCAGTTTCCTGAGTAGCTAGAATAACAGGCGTGAGCCAGGGGTCAGGGAGCTGGCTGGTCCTTTTGTATTTAACCCTTGACTGCCTGTGGTCTATCTAGATGGTCAGCTGAATGTTGGGGGGGGGTGGTAATGGTATGAGGGGAGATGCCCCGAAGTTGCCTTTGCTGATCGTCCTGTGGAGCTAGTAATGATGCTGGTGGTGATGGTGCTGGTAGAAACGGAGATGATGATGATGGTGGTGGCTGTATCACGTGACCGTGCTGATGGTAGCCCTGCTTTGAGTTAGTAAGGCTCATGACGGTGATAATCTGGGGAGAGGGTGCTTGTGTGGCTGGTTGGATGGACGTGTTAGTAAGTGGACGTTGTACAGGTGTGTGTGTTGTGTGTGTAGGGTGTATTACCTCAGCAATCAATGTCAAAGGCCCAGGAGAATTTTAGTTAGTGTGTGTGGGGGGCGGTTCTTTATTATGTTTTGTTTTTGTCAGTCTGGGGGCTTGAACTCAGGGCTCTGTCCCGGAGCTTTTGTGCGCAAGGCCAGTGCTCTACCTCTTGGGCCACAGCGCCACTTCCGGTTGTTTATTGGAGAGAAGAGTCTCACGGATTTTCCTTGCCCAGGCTGGCTTTGAACCGTGATCCTCAGATCTCAGCCTCCTGAATAGCTAGGATGACAGGCGTGATCCATTGGCGCCCGACTAGAAGATCTGTTTTTGTTCCAGCTTTTTCCATAACCTGATGTGCATTGTGTCTCCCTGAGATCTGAGGGAACCACCCCAGACCCTAGAGAGAAGAGACAACACAGATGATCACAGACATCAGCTGTAAGCTGGAGGCTTACACCTGCAGCCCTAGCTCCCTTACTGGCCCCCCTTCGCTCCCACCCATCTCCTGCCCAGCCTACCCCCTCCCCAACCCACCTTCTTTCTTCCCTGCCTCTTGGAGCTGCTCAGCAGCCCTTTTACTGGCTGAGTGTCTATTGGAATAGGGCTGTGTTCCTCTGTGTGTGTGAGAGAGAGAAAGAGAGAGAGAGACAGAGAGAGTGAGACCTGGGGCTTGAACTCAGGGCCTGGGCATGTCCCTGAGCTTCTTTAGTTCAAGGCTAGCACTCTACCACTTGAGCCACAGTGCCACTTCTGGCTTTCTCTGTGTCTGTGGTACTGGGGAATCGAACCCAGGGCTTCATGCATGCTAGGCAAGCACTCTACCACTAAACCACGTTCCTAGCCCTTTTGTTTTTTGTTCCTTTGTGCCAGTACTGAGGGTTGAACTCAAGACCTGGCTACTTTTCTCCTTTAGCTTTTCTATGCTTGAAGGCTGGTGGTGCTCTACCATTTGAGCCATAGCCCCCACTTCTGGCTTTTTTTTTGCTGGTTAATCAGAGCTGACTAGCTTTGAACCTCGCTCCTCAGATCTCAGCCTCCTGAGGAGTTAGGATGACAGGCGTGAGCCGCCACATAACTCTTCTAGGCTGTGTTTTGTGGAGTCAGGACAGACTTTTCTAGGAGGTGTGTGGAGTCCAGATGTGCTCAGGTGGAAGAGGAGGAGGAGGAGGAGGGACATGGTCCCAGGGGATGATCGATGCAACCCTTCTTCCCTTTAGGGTGGCAGTCATGGAGCTTCTGGACTATTCTCACCCTCTGAATCCCTTCTTCCTGAGTCAGGGGACACAGGCCCAGCATTCCCGCAGCAGGGCAGTTACGTGCTCAGAAAGAGTTCCTATTCCCGGCCCCATGGTGCTCCCTTTAACATGACCCCAATGGGTCCCCGTGGGAAGGAAGGAAGTACAGTCATTCCTGGCAGAGAGATCACTAGGACCAGAGGTCTGGGCTGTGTCTTCAAAACCCAGAGTTTGCTCCTGTGAAGGAACTTCCAAGAGAACAGGAAGTTCCTATCTTTCTTTGTGTGTATGTGTGTGTCAATTGTGGGGCTTGAACTCTGGGCCTGGGTGCTGTCCCTCAGCTCTTCAGCTCAAGGCAAGCCCTCTACCACTTGAGCCACAGCACCACTTCCGGTTTTCTGGTGATTGCTTGGAGAGAAGAGTCTCACGGACTTTCCTTGCCCAGGCTGGCTTTGAACCGCGATCTTCAGATCTCAGCCTCCTGAGGTAGCTAGTTTGACAGGCGTGATCCACTGCCACTGGACTTTTCTCCCTCCCTGAAGCCCTAAGCGGGGTTGATGGAGAGGGAAGGGGGGGGAGAGGAGATTCTTACCCTTGACTGGGGAAACTTACCCAGTGGGATATTGGGCCAAGATGGAAACTGGTGACTCTTAAGGTCCTTAGAACTTGAAGACTTGAAGGAATTCAGACTTGTTACTCCTTCGCCATCTCTCACCCCATCCCCGGGACATTCCATCCATTTCAACGTTCCCCAAGGGGATGGACAGGACCAAGAATGTCCGTGGTGACGGCCTAAGGGGTTGCTGGCTAGACAGGCTTGGGACCAGCTCTTCCCCTGTTCCTTGGAGAGGAGAAGCTGAGAGCTGTCAAAGCCTCCATAAAACAGATTGCTAGCCTTTCCCCCACCCCCCCAGCAGGAGAGGAAGGAAGGGAAGGGAAGCCTTCACCAAGGAGGGATGGGTCTAGGCACCAGCGACCTCACCTACAGGGACTGCCTGTAGTCTCGGCTTTTTTGTTTTGTTTTGTCTTTTTAACATGTGTGTGTGTCTATTGGCTTGGCAGGTGGATTCAGACGATGTCTTCACCAAAGAGGAGCAGATTTTCCTGTTGCACCGTGCGCAGGCCCAGTGTGACAAGCTTCTGAAGGAAGTCCTGAGAAGGGCAGGTTAGACACAGGGCCAAGGGAGAGGAGCAGGCCAGGGTGGTGGGCCTAAGTTTAAGAAAAAAAAAAGAGGGGGGAGAGGAAGCTGGAGGTGGGGGGAGGGGGGGAGTGGTCGGTCAAGCCAGGGTGAAATCAGGCAGACTCAAAAGTGGTCCTTGGCTTAAGCCCTGAGTTCAGATCACAGCCGCTGAGACACCCCGGCCTCTTCTCAGAGTGTGTGCGTGTGCGTGTGTGTGTGTGTGTGTGTGTGTGTGAGACAGTAGGCATGCAGCTGCAGGCCACATCGATCTCCAGTGAGGGGATCCAGGACCAGTATCTTGGATGAAGGCTTTAGACCCACTCGCCTTCCCCTCTCGCCCCCCCCCAAAAAAAAAGATAGGCTGAGCCAGCTTCCTGAAGGAAGACATAGCCACAAGCCAAGACCAGAGGGCCTTTCGAACAAACCACTTGGGCAGAGGGAGCAAAGCAGAGGACTCTAGTATGGGACCCACTGGGGTTGGACAGGATGGGAGGGAGAGGTCAAGTGGAGACTCAGTGTGACTCAGTCACCTGTCATCTGTAAGACCCTTGCGATGGGACCACCCAATCCCGAAGTTCCTAAACACCCTCCCTTAGTCCGATCTTCTCCCCTGCCCTCCCCAACCCGCGCCCCTCATTGACTCCATTTCCTGGAAGAAGAGTTGGCCCCTTGGTGGCATTCATCCATCCAGGCCTTTGATTGGCTGGCTGGCTTAGCTCCACAGCCTATAGAAGACCAGACCAGAGGGGCGTGTCAAGCCCCTCCCACCCCATCCCAGATTAGTCTCCTCCCTGTTTTAAGGCTAGCACCGTGCAGGACATGGCTACTTCATGGTGCATGGATCTTGTGCATGTTTATCTGCATTTAGTCCTGAACCTGGGAAACTTCGGCCAGGGGAACAGAGGCAGGAATGCGGACACAAGGCACACACATCTCAGTGCAGATGGCCCACGCACAGAGCCTCCTGTGAGCCGGCCGGGGGAAGGGAAGGGCTGGGCTTGAGCCGTAGCTGAACACCCACAGTCAGATGAGGAGGAGAAGTTTTCTTTCATGGTTTCTTTTTTTTTCTTTTTGTCAGCCGTGGGGCTTGAACTCAAGACCTGCACGCTGTCCCTGATCTTTTTTTAAAAATGATATTATTATTGTTGTTGTTGTTGTTGTTATTGTCAGTCCTGGGGCTTGAACTCAGGGCCTGGGTGCTGTCTCTGAGCTGCTTTTGTTCAAGGCGAGCGCTCTACCACTTGAACCCCAGCACCACTTCTGGCTTTGTCTCTGAGTAATTGGAGATGAGAGTCTTCATGGATTTTTTTTTTTTTTTGCCTGGACTGGCTTTGAACCGTGATCCTTAGGTCTCAGCCTCGTAGAGGATTACAGGCGTGAGCCACCAGCACCCAGAAGCTGTCCACTCTTGGCAAACTTCACCCCTGGCTCTTGTCTTTCAGCTTCTTCACCTATACAACACACTGGCCTGAATTTATTTATTTTTATGGGGTCAAGGGGTTTGAACTCAGAGCCTGGGGATTGTCCCCTGGACTTCTTTTGTTCCAAGCTGGTGCTTTAGGACTTTAGACACAACTCCACATCCAGGCTTTTGGTTTTTAAATAGTTTATTGGAGATTAGTCTCGCAGTTTTTCCTAACCAGGCTGGCTTTGAACCATGATCCTCAGATCTCAGCCTCCTGAGTAGCTAGGATGACAAGCATGAGCCACCGGTGCCCAGCTATGATGTGGTTTTTATAGGTGGCTAAGTCCCCACCTCACGTACACCTGCTCTTTTTGCCCTGCGCCCCCTGGTGGCCAGCCCACATTGTTTGAAGAAGCCTTAGCTCATCCTACACATGCCACCGCATTGACTCCCATCTAAACCCTTGCGAGACCAGCTCCAAAGCCTGGCTATTGCTTCCCCTGACCCGCACAAATCCCTCCTGTGTTTCAAATCTCCTCACCACCTGGGTGGGTGTTAGCAACCGGGGACAGGGTCAGAAGGCAGCTCCCTGTTGAACAGAGGGGGGGGAAATGCATGAGTACCAAGATCTGTTGGTACATACCCTAGCTGACAGCCGGAACTACCTCCATTTCTCCAGCCAACATCATGGAGTCAGACAAAGGATGGACAGCTGCATCCACATCCGGGAAACCCAGGAAAGAGAAGGCTCCTGGCAGGCTCTACCCGGAGTCTAAGGAGAACAAGGAAGTGGTCCCTGGTTCCAGGCGCCGAGGTATGTGTGTGTGTGTGTGTGTGTGTGCTCACGTGGGTGTGCTCACGTGGGCTCTGGCCTACCTGTCTGTCACTACCCTATCTGGTATCATATGAGTTCCCAAGGGAACAAGAGGCCATAGCACTGGGAGGAGACAGTCCAGGGGAGACATCATGAAGAGTCAAGGACAAGCCCATGCCCGTGGCTCACCTCTGTCATCCCAGCTACTCAGGAGGCTGAGATCTGAGGATCGTGGTTCAAAGCCAGCCCAGCCAGGAACATCCGTGAGACTCTTTATCTCCAAGGAACCACCAGAAAACTGGAAATGGCACTGTGGCTCAAGTGGTAGAGCACTTGCCTTGAGCTGAAGAGCTGAGGGACAGTGCCCAGGCCCAGAGTTCAAACCCCAGGCCCAACCAAAAATAAATTACTGGAAGTAGTCTTGAACAAAAGAGCTCAGCGACAGCACCCAGGCCCTGAATTGAAGCTCCAGGACCAACAAAGAAAAGGAGGGAGGGAGGGACAGGAGAATTGGATGGACCTGAGCTATAGAAGATCCTAGCTAGGCCCTTCGAAAGAAAGAGAAAGGACGGAGATTTCCTGAGAAATATTCAGAAATCCAGAGACAGAGGCTCACGCCTGTCATCCTAGCTACTGAGGAGGCTGAGATCTGAGGATGGCAGTTCAAAGCCAGCCCAGGCAGGAAAGCCCATGAGATTCTTATGTCCAAAAAGCTACCCCCGCAAAAAAAAAAAAAAAAAGCTGGAAGTGGCCATGTGGTTTGAGTGGTAGAGTGCCTGCCTGGAGTGAAAATGCCAAATGAGAAGAGTGTGAGGCCCTGGGTTCGAGCCCACATCTCCTTTCCCCATGATCCCATGGGGTACAGTTTGTCAGAGGAGGTACGGGGGGTCGGGGGGGGACCCATACTGGCAGAGCCATGGGGGACAGACACAGTGTGACCAGGAGGAGGCAGAGGGAGGGAGGAACAGAGTTGTCTCCGTCCCCCCCCCTCTCCCCCTGTCCCCCCCCGGGGGGAGGGGGGAGGTGAGGAGAGACAAACACAGAGTGCAGGCTGTGGCCACAGGGCCGGTTAGAACCGGCCGGGTGGGCAGTGGATTCCAGATGGGCCACATCTGGGAGCATGTGGTCACCCTGGCTCCCCAGGGACCAAAGGGAATTGTGGGCCTGGCCCGGGGTGGGGCTGGGAATATGGCCCAGGACAGAGAGCCTTTCACCAAGTTGGGCGGGTCTAGCCACCAAGGCAGCCTTCCAGGGAAGCTAGAGAGAAGCCTGTGGTTGGAGACTTGCAAAGAGGGGGGGGGAGAGGAGTTGTTGGGGAGAAGAGGTGCTGGGGGGGTCTGTGAGTTAGGGGGTGGAATGTGGAAAGAAAGCTCCAGAGGCTTGGGAACCCCAACTTCCCAATGAGGAAATAGAGATGCCCGGAAGATCTCAGCTGCGCGCCTGTGGCTCACGCCTGTCATCCTAGCTATGCAGGAGGCTGAGATCTGAGGATCACAGTTCAAAGCCAGCCCGGGCAGGAATAATCCATGAGACTCTGATCTCCAAGGAACCACCAGGAAACTGGAAGTGGCACCAGGAAACTGGAAGTGGTGCTGTGGCTCAAGTGGTAGAGCGCTCGCCTTGAGCTGAAGAGCTGAGGGACAGCGCCCAGGCCCTGAGTTCAAGCCCCATGACTGACAACAACAACAACAAAAGAGAGAGATTTCTTGCCCGTTGTCCATGGTCCCTGGGGAAGGGTCCCTTGAGGACCTTCCAAGCTGAGGGAGGGTTAGTCTAAGAAAGTAGTTTTCTTGGGAGACCCCCCTGAAAGGTGGGACCAAGAGCAGAGAGAAAGGGGTCTGTCTGAGTCCCTGACAAGACCTTGTGTTGTATAATCCCAGCAAATCACCCTCTTCTTTCAATTTTTTTTTCTTTGTGAGGGTCCTGGGACTTGAACTCAGGGCCTGGGCACTGCCCCTGAGCTTCTTTTGCTCAAGGCTAGCTGGTGCTGTATCACTTGAGCCACAGCGCCACTTCCTGTTTTTTTTTTTCCTTAAGTCCTTCGTTGGAGATACAGAGGCTCACGAACTTTGCTTTTTCTGGTGGTTCATTGGAAACTTTTATTGGAGAGGCTCACAGACTTTCCTTCCCCGGGCTGGGCTTCAAACCACGATCTTCAGATCTCAGCCTCCTGAGTAGCTGGGATGGACAAATGCTCTATGCCAGAGGTTTCCAGTCCTTGCAAGCCATATATATGCACACAGGAACAAACCACCACATAGGTCGATGACACTGGGTCTGAAGCCTGGCTCTGACTCTCCCCTGCCCGCGCATGCTCTGTCTTGTCTGTGCACAGGGCGAACCTGTCTGCCTGAGTGGGACAACATCGTATGCTGGCCGCTTGGGGCCCCGGGTGAGGTGGTGGCTGTCCCCTGTCCTGACTACATTTATGACTTCAATCACAAAGGTAAGGCTGGCTGGAGGCTGGGGGGGATGGGGCAGGGAATAGAGACCCCTAGGATCCCCTGACCTGGGGAGACCAGGGTGTGTGTGTGGGGTGGAGGGGTGTTTAATAGCTCCTGATCTCTTCCCCTGCCTGCCCTGACCCCCTCCCTCCCCGCTGCACCTGCACAGGTCATGCCTACCGTCGCTGTGACCGCAATGGCAGCTGGGAGGTGGTGCCCGGGCACAACCGGACCTGGGCCAACTACAGCGAGTGCCTCAAGTTCATGACCAATGAGACGCGGGAACGGGTGCGGGTCATTCCCCAGCACCGCACCAACACCTCTGACCTGACCTTGGCTCCTGCCCCTTGACCTCTCCAGCCACCTTAACTTGGCCTCTCTTACCCTAGCACCCCCCCTCCCCCTGCACCTTGTCTCCCGCCCACCCCATCCCACCCCAGTTCTCTTGACTGTGTCTGCCTCCTGCACAGGAAGTGTTTGACCGCCTGGGCATGATCTACACCGTGGGCTACTCCATGTCCCTGGCGTCTCTCACCGTGGCCGTGCTCATCTTGGCCTACTTCAGGTGGGCGGGGCAGGGGCGGGGCAAAAGGCTTGGTGGGCGGGGCGAGAACAGGCCTTGCTCAGGGGCAGATCTGTGTCTTGTGTGATGGGTGGGGAACGAGCGCAGGCCTGGCTTCGTGGGCGGGGCAGGGGGCGGGGCCAGAGACGGCCTGGATCTGTGACTGGCTTGGTGGGCGGACCAATGGGCAGGATGCATGGCCTGACTCGGTGGGCGGGGCAGTGGGCGGGGCCAGAGACGGCCTGCAGGGGCGGATCTGTGACTGGCTTGGTGGCCAGACCAATGGGCAGGATGCATGGCCTGACTCGGTGGGCGGGGCAGTGGGCGGGGCCAGAGCGGCTTGCAGGGGCGGATCTGTGGGAATGTGTGACTGGCTTGGTGGGCGGGGAGAGCGTATGCCTGACTCAGTGGGCGGGGCAATGGGCAGGAGCAAGTGGAGGCCTGGCCGGGTAGTGGGCGGGGCCAGAGGCGGCCTGGAGGGGAGGTCTGTGATTGGCTTGGTGGGTGGGGTAATGGGCAGGCTCGGTGGGCGTGGCCGTGCGTGGGGGCGTGGTCACCGCAGGCCCCTTCCTTCTCTCCCTTTTGCTGCACCCCCCTGCTTTGGCATGTGTCTGCTTGGCTGCACCCAGCTCCCCACGCAGCCTCCACGGAGTCCCGTCCCCTCTCCCCCCCGCAGGCGGCTGCACTGCACCCGGAACTACATCCACATGCACATGTTCCTGTCGTTCATGCTGCGCGCCGCCAGCATCTTCGTGAAGGACGCCGTGCTCTACTCGGGCTTCACCCTGGACGAGGCCGAGCGCCTCACGGAGGAGGAGCTGCACCTCATCGCGCAGGTGCCCCCGCCGCCGGCGGCCGCCGCCGTGGGCTACGTGAGTGTGTGTGTCCCCCCAGGCCAGGCCAGGTCACTCCAGGCCAGGCCACGCCACGTCACGCCAGGCCAGGCCAGGCCACGCCACGCCACGCATGCCCCCGGCCCCATCTGCCCTGCCCCACACACCTGTCAGCGCCTAGCTGCTCAGGAGGCTGAGATCTGAGGATCCAAGTTTAAAGCCAGCCACCCCACCATGGGGGGGGGGGGAGTCTGTGAGGGGGGTCGGTCATGGGGCCTGAACTCTGGGCCTGGACGCTGTCCCTCAGCTCTTCAGCTCAAGGCCATCACTCTACCACTTGAGCCACAGCGCCACTTCCCGTTTTCTGAGTGGTTTATTGGAGGTCAGAGTCTCATGCCCTTCCCTGCCCCGGGCTGGCTGTGAGCCCCGATCCTCAGATCTCAGCCTCCTGAGGAGCTAGGGTGACAGGCATGAGCCCCCGGCGCCCGACCCAAAACCACTTTTTCCAGAGACCCTCCCAAGCCAGGGCCTTCTGTTCCTGCCTGAGTTCAGCACCCGTCCCCTATCCACCTGACAATCACACCACGTTCCTCCAGAGGGTCCCAGCCTGCGCCCACCCCTTCCTTGCACCCACTTGCCTCCCCCTTCCCCTACCTCCCCACCCCAGCACAATCAGAGTGTACTCCAGGATGCCCACTGACCTCCAGCTAACACCTGCTCCTCTCCTAGGCGGGCTGCCGTGTGGCCGTGACTTTCTTCCTTTACTTCCTGGCCACCAACTACTACTGGATCCTGGTGGAGGGGCTGTATTTGCACAGCCTCATCTTCATGGCCTTCTTCTCCGAGAAGAAGTATTTGTGGGGTTTCACCATCTTCGGCTGGGGTACGTAGGTTTGGTAAGGTAGAGTCCAGAGGGTGCTACCTCCTGAGGGTAAGGCACTTCAAGATCAGCCTGGAGCTGAAGTGGGGAATCTGGGACCCTCCTCCTACCCCTCCCCCATCCACTCCCCCCCCACCAGGACCTTGGGTGTACACACCAGCGTGTGTCAACTAGCAAGGGGTCGTTGCCCCAATAAGAACCATCTCAGGTACCACAGCGCAGCTGTAGTAGTTCCTCTGCAGAATGGGTGTCTGGGACTTCTACTCTCCTCCAGGGCCCACCCTCCTCCCCCCCCTCCCTCCCTCCCCCCTCCCTCCCCACGGGTTGTGGTATCCAGTTACTGATAATTGTTCATTATTGTTGGCAGCTTGAGCGCTTGGCTGGGCTCCCAGGCAGCTGGCCAGACTTCAGAGGGGGGGGTGTAGGGCTGGTGGCTGGAGCTCTCTCTGGACTCAGCACCCAGAGGCCCCCCTCAGGTCAATAGCCACGGCCTCCCCCAGGGCCCCCTTGGCACACACCCTTCGTCCTGACCTCATTATGGCATAAGCCCTTCATCTAGGGGAGGCCTGGGCGTCGTTCCAAGAACTGACAGGCTCTGAGGCTTGGAGGTGTCCCGGGGGGGGGGAGTGGGTTGGGGGGTGCGCTGGAAAACACGTGGATCAGGGAGCCAGACAGAATCTTGTGTCTCAGGACTGGCCTTGTCTCAGCCGGGCACCAGTGGTGGCTGCTTGCCTGCCGATCATCCAGGAGGCTGGAGCAGAGTCCGCGCAGAGACAGGAACGTCCTTGAGACTCTTCTGCCTTGTGTGGATGGGTGAATGAGATGCAGAAGCAGGACAGGGCAGGAGCGGAGCTCAGACTGGCGATTGGGACAGCTCAGGATGGCATATGGCTGCGATCAGACAGCTGTAGAGTTAAAGGGTCAGGGCAGCAAGGGATGACGGGATGGCGTAGACAGCCCCGCCCGAGCCAGCCTCTGCTCCCACAGGTGTACCTGCCGTGTTCGTGGCTGTGTGGGTTGGCGTCCGAGCAACTCTGGCCAACACTGGGTAAGTCCTGGCAAGCAGAGGGAGGGGCTGGGGGATCTGGAAACGGCTTTGGTTTTCCCAAGATGGCAAGGAGGTTGGTTCGCTGGTCACTAGGAGAGTTTTTAATCCAGAATCTGCCAAGAGCCCCCTCAAAGGTCCCAGGACGCTACCTCCACAAGGGCTCCGAGAGAGGCGTCTGGCCTTGGATACACAAGCCCCCGATCGTGTGTGAATGCCTTGATCTCCCATAGGTGCTGGGACCTGAGCTCTGGGCACAAGAAGTGGATCATCCAGGTGCCTATTTTGGCTTCTGTTGTGGTGAGTAGGGGTGTGTGGTTAATTGTGAATAGGCCCCTAAACAAGGATATATATGGAGGGGAGAGGCTTTCCTGGATCCTATGGAGATAGCCAGAACCCCAAAGCTCTGGGGAAATTGGGGAGTCCAAGAGGGTGATCGAGACATTCAGTGGCAAAACAGGGCCCGCAGTAGGAGCCGTCCATAGGTCCAGGCATCTTTGGCCTATCCCGTTAAAGAATTGCAGCCCTCTTCCTTCCCACAGCTCAATTTCATTCTCTTCATCAACATCATCCGGGTACTTGCCACCAAGCTACGGGAGACCAATGCCGGCCGGTGTGACACACGACAACAGTACCGGTGAGCCTCGCCCGCCACTACCAGCGTGGCCTCGTGTGTGTGTGTGTGTGTGTGTGTGTGTGCAAGGCCCTTGCTAGATCTGGGGTCAGCTAGGGTGGAAGAAATTCAGATCTTGCAAGCCAGGCATGAGTGTCTTATACCTGTCATCCTAGCTAGTCAGGAGGCCGAGATCTGAGGATCGCAGTTCAAAACCAAGCCCAGGCAGGAAAGTCTGTGAGCCTCTTATCTCCAATGAACCAATCGAAAACCAGAAGTAGAGCTGTGGCTCAAAGTGGTAGAGCACTGGCTTTATGCAAAAGAGCTCAGGAACAGCGTCCGGGCTCTGAGTTCAAGATCCACAATTGATTAAAAAACAAAGTTGGTTGCAGAAGGAGTCCAAACGATTGGCTTCAAAATAACTATAGGAGCAAGCCAGGCGCCGGTGGCTCACACCTGTCATTCTAGCTACTCAGGAGGCTGAGATCTAGAGGATCGTGGTTCAAAGCCAGCCTGGGCGGGAAAGTCCATGAGACTCTTATCTCTAAGGAACCACCAGAAAACCAGAAGTGGTGCTGTGGCTTGAGTGGGTGGTAGAGTGTTCGCCTTGAGCTAAAATGCTCAGGAACAGCGCCCAGGCCCTGAGTTCAAGTCCCAGGACCGACAATAAATAGATACATAAATAAATAATAGGAGCTTGGCTGAAACCAGTAAGTGGGGTTTGGGGGGGGGGTGAGGAGCCCATGGGGGAAGAGTTGCGCGGCAGCTGAAGGGACCAGCAGGTGCAAAGGGCCTGTGGTCCACTCTAGGACATCTCTCAGAATCAAGGAACTCCAATGAACAGTACCTCTCCCCTTGGTGGGTGGGGGGGGAGGAGGAGGAGGGCCTTGGGGGCCCTCTATAGCTTTGGAGGCAGGGGACTGTTGAAAGGGAGTAAGGGTGGCCTGACCTGCCTGCCCCACTGGCCAGGAAGCTGCTCAAATCCACGCTGGTACTCATGCCCCTCTTCGGCGTCCACTACACCGTGTTCATGGCCTTGCCGTACACCGAGGTCTCAGGAACTCTGTGGCAAATCCAGATGCACTATGAGATGCTCTTCAACTCTTTCCAGGTGTGCAATGCTGCTTGAGTCCTTGTGGGGAGGGGAGGGGGAGGGGAGGGAAGGGGGGAGGGAGGGCAGCCCTGATCCCTTTCATCTCTCTCTCTCTCTCTCTGACAGGGATTTTTTGTCGCCATCATCTATTGTTTCTGCAATGGTGAGGTAAGCCAGGGCCAGGGCTGGGAGAAGGGAGGTGCTGGGGTAATTTGGGGGTGGGGGGATTGGGGATCCTTAAGTCTTATTCTCTGCTGTTCTTCCCTTTCCGTCCCTCCTCCCTTTCTTTTCTATTCTTTTTGGGTCCTGGGACTTGAACTCAGGGCCTGGATGCTGTCCCTGAGCTTTTTGCTCAAGGCGAGCGCTCTACCACTTGAGCCACAGCGCCACTTCCGGTTTTCTGGTGGTTATTTGGAGATGAAGAGTCTCATGGACTTTCCTGCCCAGGCTGGCTTTGAACCACGATCCTCAGATCTCAGCCTCCTGAGTAGCTAGGATTTACAGGCGTGAGCCACTGGTGTCCGGCTTCCCTGTTCTTCCAGAACCTCCCCGAGGTTCAGAATGTTCTAAAAGGCCAAGAAAGAGCTTTCATTCTTTCTTCTTTTTTAAAAAAAATATGTGTTGTGGGGCTTGAACTCAGGGCCGGGGCGCTGTCCCTGAGCTCTTCAGCTCAAGGCAAGCGCTCTACCACTTTGAGCCACAGCGCCACTTCTGGTTTTCTGGTGGTTCACCTGGACTTTTCCTGTCCGGGTTGGCTTTGAACTGCGATCCTCAGATCTCATCTTCCTGAGTAGCTAGGATGACAAGCGTGAGCCACCCTAATATCCTGTGACAAAGTATCACTCTCCTCTAAACTTCAGATGAAGAGGCAGGGCCGGTCCACTTTTGGGGTGCCGTTGGAATCTGGTAGATTCTAAAGGGCGCCAGTCATCCAAACACCATGTTGAATTGTGGGATTGGATTTGGCCTGGGAATTTTCCATCTGTTTCCCCCGATTGATTCAGGGCCTTGGGTGGGTGTTCACAGATCTGGGATGGGGGTATTTCCTGCTAGGTTGTTTGTTTGTTTTTTGGGGGGGAAGCAAATGACAGAGGGATTGATGGTATACCCAGCTTCCACCTTTCTGTCTTCCCCAAGGTACAGGCTGAGATCAAGAAATCTTGGAGCCGCTGGACACTGGCATTGGACTTCAAGCGCAAAGCACGCAGCGGCAGCAGCAGCTACAGCTATGGCCCCATGGTGTCTCACACAAGCGTGACCAACGTAGGCCCCCGTGCGGGACTCAGTTTACCCCTCAGCCCCCGCCTGCTGCCTGCCGCTACCACCAACGGCCACTCCCAGTTACCTGGCCAGGCCAAACCAGGTCCCCCAGCTCTTGAGACTGAACCCACTCCGGTCACCATGACTGCTCCAAAAGACGATGGATTTCTCAACGGCTCCTGCTCAGGCCTGGATGGAGAGGCCTCGGAGCCCACGCAGACACCCCCACTGCTGCCGGAAGAGTGGGAGACCGTCATGTGACTAGGGGGGAGCTGGACGTCTAAGCTGGGTGGATGGACTCCCAGAAAGACTGGTGGTTGCCTGGCTGTCCCTTTGGGGGGGACCAGGCCAGGAGGAAACATTGGGGAGAGAAAAGAAAAAGAAAAAAAAGAAAAAAGAAAAAAAGGGAAAAGGAAGCGGCGTGTGACTTCCTGTGGTTTTACGACTGGAGAGTCACGCGAGGAGGGAGACCCTGGAGGAGTTTTGGGGAGCCATCTCAGGAGTTGGCATAGGGGCTGGTTTTGGTTTTTGTGTGGCAAATATGGGTGCCAGGTGGGGCTTGAACTCGGGGCCCTGGGTGCTGTCCCTGGGCTCTTTTATTGCTCAAGGCTAGCTAGCACCCAACTACTTGAGCCACAGCTCCACTTCCGGTTTTCTGGTGGCTCATGGGAGATAAAGAGTCGCACAGACTTTCCTGCCCAGGCTGGCTTTGAACCACGATCCTCTAGATCTCGGCCTCCTGAGTAGCCAGAATGACAGGCGTGAGCCACCAGCGCTCCGTCTCGAGCTATATAAGAACCCCACAATGGCACAGCCCGTCTTGGCCTAACGGTAAAGACTGCTCACTGACGACATACCTGCTCTGGCCAAGATGGGCATTGCTCTCGTCAAGCCTGGGAGCCAAGCCCTGGCTTTTGGGTCTTCTGTAAAAATGGGGTCTCTACGTTTACCCTTTCCCATTTTGGTTCACACAGCCTTGCTTTTTCCCTTAAGTCCAGCATCTAAGAGAACTTTTCCTTCATGGTCCTATATCCATCCATGTGGGGGGGGGAGGGAGGAGTCAGGGGTAAGAGAAGAAACTTACACAGATGTGGGAGATGAGGAGGAGACACTGACAAGAGAAAGACCTCAACAGGACAGACAGACACCTATTTCCCTTCCCAGGGAAATCAGGATTTCCTCATCTAGAGGCTAAGGGGTGGGCTGGGAAGGTGACTCAGTGGTAGAGTGCTCGCCTAGCATGCACAAAGCCCTGGTGTTCGATTCCTCAGTACCCCATCCACAGAGAAAGCCACAAGTGGCGCTGTGGTTCAAGCGGTAGAGCGCCAGCCTTGAGCAAAAAGCAGCTCAGGGTCAGCGCCCAGGTCCCGAGTTCAAGTCCCAGGACTGGTTAAAAAAAAAAAAAAGAGGTGCACTCACCAGAACACATTCAAGCGGAGCACGTGTGGGACAGGGCTGTGTTCTCCTGCACCTCATTATCTACCACCACTCCCCACCCAGGGCCAGCCTCCCTTTTTGGATTAAATGCCCTCAGACTTTCATCTCATACCTGATTGTGCCTACACCAGGCTCTCTCCTCCTCCCCCAACTCCAACATGTCCCTCTCCCCACCCCCCTCCTTTAGACTGGACACCATTTCCTCCTGATGGATGTCTCCATGGAGGACTGGAGATCTCACACCAGTTCTGGACTAGGATTCCCATTTTCTCCCTTGGATGGGGCCTGAGCTCAAGAAGAGACTCAAAGAGGCGCTTCCTCACCCCCCCACCCCCTCCCCCAGCCTCAAACCCTGGTCTGGGCCATCCAGGTGTTGGTAGAGGACGTAGGAGGCCTTGGCCAGGCCTGGCAGATGGTCAGGTGTCTGTTTGTCTTGAGCCATGGCTGAGGCCAGGTGGCCATGTCTCCCTTCACAGCCTCCCAGAGATCAGCCAAGCCACAGGGAACATGTAAACAGCAGCACAACTTGCTGTTGGGGGGAATACGGACAAAGGGGGTGTAGGGGGACATCGAGACACCCCCACACACACTTTGCAGCCTCCTGGGTACGACGTCCAGGCACCTGGGAAGGTATCCACAGACTCCCAACACCTGCCGGGAACAGGCCGGGCCTCTTCTCTCTCTCTGGCTCATCGCCCCTGGCCTAAGTTGGCTTTCTGAAGGCCTGGAGAAGGAATGCACTTTCTAGGGGACCCTTTGTCTGGATTTGGGGGGTGCTGAGGCTAAATCGATCTCAGGCCCAGAGTATATGGTCTGGGAGTTCCAGAGCTAGCCAGGCCGGAAGACAGGTCTGATGCTGGGGATGAGTTGAGGGGCTGGGGCTGGGTGGGGGGGAGATCGGCATTGCTGAGCGGGCCCCAGCACATAGGCCCATGTCTCCTGGGCCAGCTCCAATAGGACCATCCTGCCCAAGGCTACTTCGCCATGGCCAATAGAAACAAACGGCTTGTGGGGCGGGTACTGATGGCCCATGAGGAGATCTTCGAAGCAGACTCCAGAGTCAGGCTGGGAAACTTGGGCTTTTGTGGGGAACACTGACAGCAGAGTTTCGTGGTAAGCATAAAGAGATTGAAGCTGGACGCTGATGGCGGCTCGCGCCTGTCATTCTAGTTCCTTGGGAGGCTGAGATCTGAGGATCGTGGTTCAAAGCCAGCCCAGGCAGGACAGTCTGTGAGACTCTTATCCCCAGTGAACCTCTACAAAACCAGAAGTGGCGCTATGGCTCGAACTCGGGGCTTTGGGTGCTGTTCCTGAGGGTTTTGTTTTTTGCTCCAGGCTAGTGCTCTATCACTCGAACCACAGATCTACTTCTGGCTTTTCTGGTTTGGTTTTGGCGGTTTACTGGAGATAAGAATCTTAACAGATTTTCATGCCCCAGGTTGGCTTTGAACTTCAATCCTCAGATCTCCTGCCTCCTGAGTGGTTGGGATTACAGGCGTGAGCCACCAGTACCAGACTGCCAGCTCTCTCCCTCTCACACATAAATCTGTGCTCTAGATTGCCCAAGACAAGTCCAAGGTCCCCTCCAGCTTCTAGCCTTTGTAAGTCAAGGGATAATGTTGGCATGGACCATAGTACCCTAGCCTTTACTCAGTCCCCAACAAATTCACTTTAACAAGATAGAGGGGTCCATTGTGCGTGAGTTTCTATGTGTGTCTGTTTGAAGGTATGTATAGACTTGTGTATTTATTTATATTTGTGTCTGTCTGTAGTTCCACTCAGTAGTTAAGACTTATGTCTGTGCTTGTGTATCCATGTATATTTATATAATGAGTCTGTATATGTCTCTTTGTGTGTGCACGCGCGCATATGTGCCGGTGTGTCTATTTTTTGCTCATATGTGTCTGCAGACATATGTGTGTCTATTTATGAGTGTGTGTGTATGTGTGTGGACCGATGGTCTACGAATGCCGCCTGTGGGTGGAATTTGGCTTCCGACCGTGTTTGGTTTGGCTCTCGCAGTATTTTCAACATCTTGAGCCAACATTTAAAAAAGAAAGAAAAAAAATCAGGATATTTCACATAAAAATTCAGCTTTCCAGTTTCTCTTAAAAAATTCAGAAGCTCTGGCGGTGTGGAGGCCAGCATTCCCCTGGGGATACTCTCCTGCCTGGCTGGGCAGGACTGGCCTCTCTTCCGTCCTCCTGATTTTGTGTGTGCGCATGTGCGTCGGTCCTGGGGCTTGAACTCAGGGCCTGGATACTGTCCTTTAGCTTTTTTTTTTGTCTGCTCAAGACTGGCAGTCTTATTACATTTGACCCATAGCTCCACTTCCGGCTTTTTTGGTAGTTCATTGGAGAGAAGAGTCTCACAGACTTCCCCTGCTGGGGGCTGGCTTTGAACCGCGATCCTCAGGATCTCAGCCTCCAGAGTACAGGTGGTAATAAGCCATAGGTGTCTTGTCGCCCTTCTGATTTTCTTCTTTGGGGTGCCGGGGAATTGAACCCACCAGGATCTTGACAAATGGACTCAAGAGTGGGAGATCATGGTTAAGATGTGGGCCTGGCTTATTTTTTTTAATTGGGGGGGAGGGGAGGGCGTGCATGGACACGTTGTGTGTGCAGTATTTGCACGAGTACACTTGTGCTTGTGTGCACATGTGAGACACAGAGGCCAGTGAGTGCTGGGATACCCCGTGTGTGGTGGAATATGTGCATCGAAGTGCACACGCGCATGTGTGTGTGCACACGCACACACGCACGGGGCCTGTGGCCAGGGGCTGGGCCATGTGGTGTGTGTGGGCCACTGTGGTCTGGCAGGTTCTTCACAGGGCCTCTTCCGGCCTTTGAGGGGGAATTGGATTCCCAGCTCCTGGCTGAGCTGCCTTGTGGGATTTATTTCTGTCTCGGTGCCCGTTGGAGGCCTGAGTAATGGGAACGTTTAAAGAAAACCGGTAAATACGGGCAGAAGGGACAGGCTGGCTGAGAAAACGCAGCCCAGACACCCCGAGTCAGCTAATGCCGGCCACAGCCCCACCCCGCCCCCAGAAAGGAAGTGAACCCGGAACTCCAGCACACACCCCTGTATATCCCAGGATGCCATTCCTGTCCACCCAAGCCCATCAGGGCCGGGGAGGAGGGGGACACACCCTACTCCACTGCACCTGAGGGCCTCTTGGTCAGTACTGGGCATCTTGGGTGCTTGGTTCCACAGAGCAGGTGTCTGGGGCCCTGGTGTAAGGACTTAGGGTCCTCTGCCAATGAGGGCACAGTGGGGGTACACTCCTAAAGGCATTGTATCTATGCATGCCTCCCACCGTTCTAGGCAGGAGGTGACACTGAGACCCTGTAGGGATGAGTCTTCAGGATTGGGGGGGAGGGGGCACAATAAGACAGCACCCCCCCTCCCCCTGCCCAGACCTGGCCTACCTGAAGTGACTGGGACATCCTCAGGATGACCCGGGTTTCCCCACTGACTCAGCCCACCCGCTGGATCATCTCTAATGACCCGATTAACGAGGGACACGGACGGGATGGGGTGGGGGGGAGATGGAGGGGGGGGGCTTCCGCGTGCTGCGGTTGGGAAGCGCAGGCAGAAGCTGGAGACTCTCAGCTCTTGCCGCCATCTAGTGGCCGTGTGAGGACTGCAGGAGAGTTTATTTATTTATTCATTTGTTCTTTTATCTCATTCATTCATTCATTTTATTTATTTTGCCAGGCCTGAGCTTGAACTCAGGGCCTGGGCGCTGTCCCTGAGCCTATGTTCAAGGCTGGCGCTCTACCACTTTGAGCCACAGCGCCACTTCTGGTTTTCTGGTAGTTCACTGGAGATAAAGCATCTCATGGGACTTCCCTGGCCAGGCTGGCCTTGAACTGTGATCCTCAGATCTCAGCCTCCTGAGTATAGCTAAGTGTGAGCCACTGGTGTCTTCCAGACCTGGACCCAAGGTCAAACCACACACACACACACACACACACACACACTAGCAGACATCTAGCCTCTAGCAGGAGCCATGCTAGGCATCGCTTCTGTGGCTTTCTTGCCTTAAAGCATCCCAGACACCAGAACACACTTCACTGGCTTCTACCACACGTGTGGGTTGACTTTTCTCTCTTTCCAGAGGTTAAAAAAAGCAATCCAAATGTACATATATGTACAGATGCAGGCCCGCCCAGAGCTGGGGCTGGCTCCGACCCTGGGGAGACCAGCTGACCTGCAGGGGCCTGGCTCAGGGCAGGAAGAGTGGAGGTGGTGGACGACCAGTTCCCGCCTCACCCCTGCCCTCCGTGCTCCTCCCATGGGACCGGGCCTCAGTCGGAGTCGCAGGCCTCCTGTCCTGTGGGGGCATTCACGGCTGAGGCCAGGCTGTCCTCCTGGCCTTTGAGCCGCTCACCTGGAAGGCAGGCAGACAGACAGACGGACGTAAACCAGTGCCCTGTGCTTGGACCAGCCCTCCCCCCCACATCCCCCCCCCCCCCCCCGCAGCCAGCCAGGGCGGCACTTACGGATCAGCTCAGCGATGGCTCTCTGAGTCCTCTTTTCAAGTTTCTCCAGTTTCTTGGCCACATCTCTCTTAAGGTCCCTGGAGCAGGGAGGAGGGGAGGAGGGAGGCTGAAGGCTAGCCCCGGGCTGTTCATCTGTCTCTGCTCCCCGCCCATTGAGCCCCAGTTCTAGCCAAGGGGGACCACATGAGGGCTGAGTCAAGGGTAGACCCCCCCCCTCCTCCCCCAATCAGAACCCCGGAATCACCATTAGGGGGTGACATGCCACTGTAGGCCACCACCTCCTCAGGCCACAGGCTCCCCCTCCACACACACCCCCACCAGGAGATTCCAGAAGCCCATTCAGCGTGCTTTGTCGGTAGCTCTGGAGTTTTCAGGACACGTGCCTCCAGCTTTCCAGCAGCAGACGGCTCAGAGTTGTAATGAGAAGGATATGACCCCTCTAGCCGTACCCTTCAGGCCCACAGCGCCCTCTAGGCTTGGAGGACAAGCACTCCATTCCCACAAGGGCTTTATTTTTATTTTTTAATTATTTTTTGCCACTCCATAGGGCTTGAACTCAGGGCCTGGGCGCTGTCCCTGAGCTGCTTTTGCTCCAGGCTGGCGCTCTACCCCTTGAGCCACAGCGCCAACTTGCAGCTTTTTCTGTGTCTGTGGTGCTGAGGAATCGAACCCGGGGCTTCGTGCATGCTAGGCGAGCGCTCTACCACTGAGCCACCTTCCCAGGCCCAGAAAGGGGCTTCTTGAGAGGACTTTCTGCTCCCCCGTTTCCCTTCCCCAGCACCACCTGTGGGGGTTCTGCTCAGCTCTTATTTCTAACTGTCTGCCTTGTACACCTGGCCAAAAGCAACACTCACCAATCAGGCTTCCTCGGTGCAAGATTAGCCAGATCCTGGGGGTAGGGAAAATCAAAAAAAAAAGATACCTGTCAGGCAGGGCCTAGAGGACCCTCGCCCCAGGGGAGGTGGGGAGACAGGACAGAGAAGGGGACCGCGGAGAAAGGGAAAGAGGAAGGAGGGACTTGCGGGCGGGTAGGGAGGTAAAAGGGAAACGGCACCGTGGGAAGGAAGGGCTGGGAAGGTGGCTCCGTGGTAGAGCGCTTGGCCTCACATGCATGACGCCCTGGGTTTGAGTCCTCAGCACCACATCCACAGAAAGAGCTGGAGGGGGCACTGTGGCTCGCAGAGTGCTAGCCTTGAGCGGGGCTTACATACCACTTCCTCAATGACAGGCTCGGGCTTGGCCGCCTCCAGCTGCTCCTTCACTTTCTCCTCCACTAGAGGGCGCAAGAGGAACACGGGCCTGTGGGACCTGAGGGGCCAGTTACCCATCCCACCCCCGGTGTGGGGGGTCCCAGCCTCTCCCCAAATGTTCCAGAGGCAAAGCCCTGGTATCTGGGTTTCCCAGGAGGCCCCCAGACGGGTGTAGAAAGGGAGAGCAGGAAGCTTGTCAGCTAGACGGTGGGGAGGGGAGGGGCAAAGATGTCTCCCCAGGATGAGGAGTTCTGGGGCGTGCGGTGTTGGGGGAGGATTGTCCCCGGTGTCCTGACCCAGCCTTTCCTCCCAGTCCACCTCAGGAAGGGGACCTCAACCCAAGCTGTGGCTGGCAGTATGGCTACTCTCTGGGTTAGAGATGAGCACTAACAGCCAGAGGCACTGTGGGCTGCTCCCCGCCCCTGCTATTGGGGGGATCCCCCCCCTTGACTACCCTCCTTGGTCCTGTTTCTAGCCAGGTGTGGGTCTGCAATCCTCTCCCAAGGCCTGCCCTGCAATGTCACCATCCCACAATGCCACTTGGTGGGGGGAGGGGGGGGTAGATCAACTGGGAAGGAAGCAGGCCCAGAGCTGAAGGACCTTTTTGCCTTTTTTTTGCCACTCCTGGGGCTTGAACTCAGAACCTGGGTGTCGTCCCTGAGTCTCTCTGTGCTGAAGGCTGGCGCTCTGCCACTTTTGAGAAACACACAGCCCCATTTCCGGCTTTTCCTGGCGTGGTTTATTGGAGATAAGGGTCTTAGGGACTTTTCTGCCTGGGCTGGCTTTGAACGGCGATCCTTAGATCTTTTTTTTTTTTTTTTTGGTCGCTCTTCAGCTCAAGGCTGGCGCTCTACCCCTTGAGCCACAGCGCCACTTCTGGCTTTTTCTGCTTCTGTGGTGCTGAGGAATCGAACCCAGGGCCTCATGCATGCGAGGCGAGCGCTCTACCACTGAGCCACCTTCCCAGGCCAATGATCCTTAGCTCTGAAGTCACCTGTGTCGCTAGGATTACTGGGTCACCTCCGCCACAGGGAGCGAAAGCAGACCCTTTTTCCTCATCCTGCTTGGCCAGGTCTTGCTACTGTTCTCTGGGACAGCAATGCGGGGTACTACAGTGTGGCCCCCCCCACCTCTGCCCTGGCACCAGCCAGTTAGGTGGGGGCAGGGGGTGGGGAGGGCGGGTCACCTACCTGCCACGGGTTTGGCCTGGGGCACCCTCCTCCTTTTCAGATCCTCGTCCTCAGGGACGTAATTGCGCAGCCTCAGTTCCCTGTGAGGGGAGGATGTGCAGATGTGGAGGGGTCCTGGCCACACCCCCTCCCAGGAAAAGGCTCCTCCTCCCTCACCGGACACCAAGCTGGACTCCCCCCCTCCCTCCCCAGGCCCTGTCTGTCTGCACTGTAGGAATGCGGTTCCCCAAAGGCTGGGGGGGGGAGGTGGGTGTTGGCTGAGAATAGTCATTAGTATCTCTCTCTCTCCTGGATTAGCTCCACTGAAGTGTGTGTGTGGGGGGGGTGTCTGAGAGACTATACACCTCAATCATGAGGCACCCAGGAGTGACTGCACCTCTGAGACCCAAAGCTAGGTGTGACTTCCAGCAGAGGCCCAGTTCTGGGGCTGAGTCACTCCTAAAATGAAAACAAAAAAACAAAAAAAAAACCCAACGAACTCGCCTCACCAGATGTGGTGGCTCAGGCCTGTCATCCTAGCTTCTCTGGAGGCTGAGATCGGAGGACCGCAGTTCAAAGCCAGCCCCGGCAGGAAAGTCTGAGACTCTGATCGCCAATGAACCACCAGAAAACCAGAAGTGGCGCTGTGGCTCAAGTGGTAGAGCGCCCGCCTTGAGCTGAAGAGCTGAGGGACAGCGCCCAGGCCCCGAGTTCAGGCCCCGAGGCCTCTGGGCCTTACAGCTCTGGGGCTATGCCAGATTTGGGGGGCAGTGGCAGCCTAGCCCCGATGAAGGAGGCCCCGCCGACTCTCCCAGAGCCTGAGCCTAAGGCCTGGCCCCCCTCCCAGGTCTGGGGGTGAATGTTGGGGGTCACTGAGGCATAGGGCAAGAAAGCAGGGCATGACTTCTTGAAGTGGCTTCTGTTCTTCGCTGGGTGGGGACAAAAGAGGAAGAGAAACTAGGTGTGTGTGTGTGGGGGGGGAAATGCAGGGATTAGTGAGAAAAAATTAAATATTAAAAAAACAAAACAACCCAGCTCCAGGTACTGTGTGAAACGGGCGGGCGGGAGGAGAGGGCAGGATGTGGGGAGGGGCAGGCCTGCTGCCCACTGGTCACAGGAATCCCTGGGTCCCCACTGATCTGAGCCAGTGCCATTCTGGGCGCTGGTTTGTGGGCACCGAGTCTCAGCTCGGAGGCTATTAGGTTCAATCCTTTTTGCTTAGGGGCCAGTAGGACTTGAACTCAACCCCATTCACTCTCACTTGACCTTTCTGCTCAAAACCGGTCCTCCACCGTTTGAACCACACCGGTGCTTTTTAGTGGGTAGCTGGAAATAAAAGGATTGCTCAGGTGTATCTGCCCGGGGTTGGCCTGGAACCCCCATCCTCCAGATCTCAGCTAGGATGACAGGCGTGAGCCACCGGCGCCTGGTTTTTCCAGACTTGCTCTGCGAAGGTAAATGTGGAGTCTTGCTCTTCATTGATCGACAAAATGCCCAAGCAACTGTCTGTCCCCCAAGCCCCCTGTCCTAAAGCAGGAGTATGGGGAAGGGGGGGGGGGAGGGAGGCAGGGTGGGGAGGGAGAGGAAAACTGGCCTTTTCAAAAAGGGACTCCCAAGATTTCGCTCCCTTCTGTGAACAAGTGAACAAACATGCCTGACCACAGACCTATTTGTAACGTCTATTTCTTGGCCTTGGAGAAAGGCCAGAACAAGGATTTCAAGGGCTAGAAGCACAGAATGGCAACAATAGAAACCTGCCCCTGGGTACCTTTTTCCTCTTGAGCATCTGTCTCTATAAACAGAGTGATTTAAAAAAAAAAAAACAATAATAAGAATTTTTTTAAAAAAATCTTCTTGCAATTTCATGGAGCTAGAGAGAAAACTGAGCCCTGGAAAGGCCCCCGTGTTAAGAGCAGAGGCGAGCCTGAAACGGATCGCTCTTCCCACAGCTAGGACCACACAGCGGATGACTGGTCTGCCCTTTGGGGCTGGGGTGATGTAACCCAGGCTTCTCCATCTGCCCTGAACCCCCAGTCCAGTTGCCTGCCAGAAGGAGAACAAATTCTCTCTGGAGGAAAATAAACTAGCCAGAATCTCAAATTAGCTCCAGAATAGTTAATGGGCAACGTTCAGAATTCAAGCAGAACCACGAAAGGGAGGGGGAAAAAAGAAAACAGAAATACACTCGTAGGAGATTCACATGCTGGAATGATCAGAAATGAAATGGAAAAGAATGGCAATTCAGAAAAGGAGACTACAAAGACGGATTTCAGCAGAGGCCTTAAGACACCATAAAAGTTGGTTAATTCTACAACTGAGGAATGAAACCCATCATAATTGGAACTAAAGAAC